GTTTTCAGCCCATTTTTTTTTTCTTCTGGCTATCACTTCTTCTTTTGCTTGAGTTAGAACTTTATAGGATGACAGTGGTAAGATTATTTACTCTTACGACATGGCCATGCTATTTCAACTTTCTCTTTTGGCAATGGATAAGTGGTTTTCTAACAGGCCTTGTTTCTTGTTTGATGGTGACTCCCACTGCATTGTTTGTGATGCAGTCTATACAAGAGACGTCTTTAGATGGTTCTGTAGTATCCCATTTCTAATGCTTGGATTCTTTCTCTGCTTTTCTGCTGTTAACATCCAAGATTTGCAGGTGTGCAGAAAAATTGAGACAGTCAATGTATGAAAGTGTCATATGTTTGATTTCAAGCAGATGTTCCTATATTTCTAGATAGTTCTGTGACAGCTTCCATTGTTTGTGTTGCTCTTGTTTCTCTTATTTCTATTCTGCAACCCTCTTCACTAATAACTGGGCTGAGATATTTGAATTATCTCACTAATGGTGCCAACCCTAAAAAAAGAAGAAAAAAAAAACAAAAAAACATTGCAATGTCTTATGCTCACTTATTGCATTCCCTATAATGCACAAACATCAAATTTATATCTAGGACATACAGCTACTACTCTATCCCACAGGTTAAACTGCTTCTTCTTGACTCACAATGCAATCCATACCCACAACAATAAGCATATCGCTTGGAAATAAGATCTCAGCAATACAAAACAAATACTTGCAAACAAGACACATACATGAGATAAAAAAGAAATAGTTCCAGTAATTAAAGACCATAACCATGAAATAAGTCAATCCAAGACTAAACAAAATCTTCAACAGTGGAACTGCGGTTTCAAATGTTATTCAAAAATTGACAGTATATTTAGCCAAAGAAAAATGTCACTCTCCAATCATATGCCTGTAACATCACCATAAAGCATAATGGACAAGTTTTTAAAAGGATTTGAATATAAGAAAGACAACATCACACATGTTTACATAACCCTAGATCTTGAAAATGAACAAAGTCTGGTTGAAAGTGCTTGATTACTGACATTCAGGCAATGTCAACACTCATTAGACCCAAACATTTTCTCTCCATTACAAAAACAAGAAAAGTTGAGTAAAATAAAAAAAAATTAAATACGATTTGTGCATCATTTTTAATGAAACATGCTCGGAAAATGTAGAGTAATTGGACATGGTTATATGTAATTGGCAGAAATGTCCAACGAATAGAACTTACAAAGTTTGCAATAAACAATGACAAGAGAAAGAAAAGAACAGGATAAAAATAATATTAAGCAAGCAAACAATATGTGTAAGGCAAAGTAACAGTAATATGGTGAAAAGTTCACAAACTAGGAATGGTTAACACACAAAAGGGAATACAGACAAGCGATTGCAACATTCTGACTTTTAGACAAGAAAAAACAGACCTAAGTCAGATGAGACCGAGATATAGGCTATTTTATTGGCTTGGAAGAAATCCCAGCATACATCTCTATGTTTTTTCTATAAATTTGGGGAAGGAAGGTTTTTGTAGTCAGTCCTAACAGGATTGTAACCAACAGAAAAAATTATATATAAGATTATCTATCAATGTTAGTCTGTTCCTATCTATCTCAGTCTGTATGTATGTATGTATTTCAATTAGTATGTATCTATCTATCTGTCCTATTCTGTTTATATCTATCCATCAGGCCTCTTCTACTCATTTCTATCTATCTTATGCTCTTCTTATGTATCTATCTATAACAGTTCATATTGAGCTAGCTAGCTAACTCATTCTGTTCATATCTATTTCAATCTGTATATATCCACTTCACAGACTGTCGGACGCAATAAACATAATAATTGTTTTTATCATCAAAGTAGAGAAATGTTGGTTGACTTGAAAATTTGTCTAAACCAAATTAGATATGAAGAGACAGGAACCATATATATATATATATATATATATATATATATATATATATAGTTAAATTCCCAGATCAATGTAACTATAACAACAAAAACATTTTGATTTCATTTTTGCCTTGAAAAAGTCGGCAGACGAAACACGTCGGCAAAATCTAAGATTTTTTTCCAATTGTCATTTTTTACCATATATATAATATATATATATATATATATATATATTGTCAAGAATGAAGACTGAGACTCAGAAGATAAGTTAATCCAAGCTTATTCGGCAAAATACAAGCAGGGTTCATATCACATGTACTCCTGGTATTCTCAAATATGGCTGATTGTTGTAATCCAGAGAATGGGCCATAATTGAATATGGTGTTGTAAAGGATTGTCGCAGTCCATCTCTTATTTACAACATATATATATATATATATATATATATATATATATATATATAGGGAAAAGGTTATGGTTATTCCAATAAGAGAAAATGTATATTTTTAAAAAAAAAAAAAAAAAAACAAACATTTTTGGTTATAATGTGGATTTGTTTTAGTGTATATATTATTGCTTTATTCTTCATATTTCTGCGTTATGTGTTGTGCAGAGTTTTGTAATTTTTGATATAATATTTTTGTCTATGTTAGTGTCAATTAATTTGTAGTTGTTCTTATCCCCTAGTACTTCTAGAATTTTTGCATTATAGTATATTTTGTCCATGATCACTATAGTGCTGCCTTTAACTGCTTCCTTTATAAATATGTTGTTATTTTTACGGATGTTCTCTAAGGTTTGTCTTTGTATGTAAGGTTACTGAATGGTTTGGATTTTTATTGTAGGTTGAGGTTCCAGAGTTTTTCAAAAAATATGTTTAGCTCATTTGTGTTATTATTTTTGTTTGGGAAGAAATTGGATTTATTTTTTATTAATAATTCATCTGTAATGTTTTCATTAAATGTTTCTTTTAGTCTGAGTTTGCATTCAAATTCTCTAAGGCCTTTTTTTTTTAGGTCTGTTATATTGCTTTTCGGAGCAGGGCAGAACTTTAGGCCTAACATTAATAGGTTGATTTCATCCTTTGTAAGTGTATATGTAAATAGGTTTATTATTTTGGGTTTTGTGTCATCTAAACTGGTCTTCTATTTCGGACTGGGCCTTCTAAAAAAAAATGATTGTTTCTTTCCACATATTTCAGGTTTTCCAAGAGATAACCTCTCTCTACATATTTTGGGTTTTCTACCCAGTGAGAGTTTCTCTTGGTAAAATTGGGGTTGTTGTTGTTTCTAGATGGTTTTATATGTGTGTCTGTTGTTGTTATAAAAGGTGTTCCAGATGTTTCTGAATCTGTTGTTTCTGTGTGGATTGTATGTGGAGATTTTCATGGAATTTTGATTGTGTTCCTTGATATGTGTAGTGGTTGTTAGGTTTGGTTTGTTGTGCTAGGTGGTATGTGCAAGTGTTGGCTTTGTGAATGTGTGTGTATTCCTACCTATGTTTGTTTGTGTTATGATGTGATGGTATGTTGTAAGGGTTTTTTGTGTGTGTGCTGTTAAGTATATTTTCATAATTCTATTTGTTGTGTGGGAGTGTTTATATGTGGTAGTATGTATTAGGGTTCTTACCTCTGTTGTATGGTATTCTCTGTATTTGCTGATGTTGCATGTAGTTGTTTTGTGTTGAGTATTGTGTTTTGTTTTGAGTTTGGTTCATGTTTTTTTAATTCTGTCTCATTATCCATTTTTTCCTTTCTTGATAATGTCTTCAGCCAGGTTATCTTTCTTTCCAAATGAATAAATATAAATAAATGTACGTGCAAGTGTTCACATACAAATACATACATATATCCTTTGGTGTAAGAAAAACAGTGCTCAGTGCTAAATAACATAGTATATATTAATAAAAAATACATAATACCCCACTCTGAGAGAGAGATAATGATGAAAACATTACAGATAGAAAAATATTCAGCAATTCTTCATCTATTTGTCCATATTCATCTATAAGATATTTACCTATCTATAGATCACAGTGATTTATCTATCTATCAATCAGATTTATCTATCAAAATATTTACTATTTCAGTCTATATCCACCTAACAGACTCAATCTGACACAAATACAAGAGATAATTGTCTTTCTATTGTCTTCAATGTAGAGAAATGTTGATTGACTTGATAATCCTATATCATCTAAAATTAAATATGAAGAGACTGACAGATATATATATATATAGATAGATAGATAACTATAGTCGCTTCGAAAAACCTTTGAATTTTTGATTTGCCAATAATCAAATCAATCTCTGTCGATAAAAATCGCACAGATACAGGTTTGAAGCCCAAAGAAAAAACCCCCGACATGAGTAAGCAACTAACTAACAAAAGAGCTCAATACAAATCAGAGAGCAGACCTAGATAAACCTAGTGAGCCAGACAAGCCTACCCAGGTTTCACCTAAGCGATCGTCAGGAACGCTGGCTTTCCTTGACAATTCTTAGGTGAAACCTGGATAGGTTTGTCTGGCTCACTAGGTTTATCTATCTATATATATATATATATATATATATATATATATACCCAAATGAGAGAAAGAACAGATGGAGTAAAAATAAGAGTTATAAGAGATTATAATATAAACATTTTTGAAAACACTACACAAAAGCTTTCATGTTTCAATACCCTGATTGTACTTCTTCAGGTGATGATAAGTAACTAGTGATTAAATGATTTTTACGGAAATTTAAAAACTGTTACCTCATTTCCGAAAGTTAAGGGGGAGCAAATAAGGGAAACTTTAACTTTCATATAATGTGTGTATTGCCAGAAGAGCTCAGAAATTAACCCCACCAATCTTGCATAGGGAAAATAGAATTTTCTGTTACTGTTAAAATTGACAAAACACCATATTGTATTTAGGTCTTAAATAATTTAAATTTGCATATAAATGCATAATATCTTTTCTAATTACATTATACTTATGAAATATCAAAGATGTAAATGTATCATTTTTGGACAGCACAGGTGAACTTAAATGTAAACAAATTGTCTTATCTTTTTGGGGTAATGTTTCTTAAGAGAAAATACATTCCTATCTGTTGCAGGCAATGTGGCATGTCGGTATAAAGGTTTTGCTGGTGGAATTAAAGATCTGCAGTGCCACCCAACACTTCCATATGTCGCATCTTGCAGTTTGGATAGATTTTTACGCATACATCACATGGACTTAAAGCACATTATGCACAAGGTAAGTAATTTAATCAACATTCATTTTTTCCAGATAGCAACTGAATTTTGACAGGCCCACATTTAATACGTATTACTGTATTTTATTGTGTTTTCAAAATGACCATGTGTTTCTGAAGCTAAAAACAAGAAATAAACTGCATCTTTGAGTATAATATAGGTACCTCCATGTGATCACTAAAAAAAAGAGCATGATGAAAAAGACGCCAAACTTGACAAAAACAAAATTTTATTGTTTAAATGCTTATGCTATTATTAAGAGGAAAGACCAAAGTTTTTTTTAATTATTTTTAAAAATTTTTTTTTTTTTTTTTTTTAAACATATACAATTTTTAGTACATTTTTTTCGGTATGACACACATTAATTTGGAAAATCTTACAAAAATAAAAATAATTGTCAAATGTTAATGAAACTTTCAGAAACTATTCACAGATGATCGAAATTATTATAAATATGTTTGTTTTTTTATTAAAGTCATGGCAGAAATAATTTTTCTTTAATATTTATTACCCCTCCCCCAACTAATTTTATGAAAACGCTTGAAATTTGATCACATCGGGTTTAGTGATTACAATAGTTAAATGCACAAGGCTTTGAGGAATGCAAATCATGTTTTTTTTTGTTTTTAATTAGACCCCCCTACCTGAAAATCAGCTCTGAATTGTAACATACAAAACTCAATAAAACAAAGATATTATTTAATTTCAAATGCTTTTATTTGCTTTTATGAATATGGACAATATTTTCTGAAAGCAACAAATTTTTTCGATGAAAAATAAATTTTTAATACAATTATTTGTTATTTCTTTAATTATAATAGATTTTTACATTTAAGTTGTTAAAATATTATCAAATTAGTTAAAAGCTACATTGGGTTTCCTAAGTCTCCTTATGAGATAGATCTTTTTTAGCACGTTGTAAATTGTATCATTTTGACTAATCAAAAGATCCACAGTAATTAAGAAATGTAACTTTGTGTTTATAATCGGGCTGTAATTATAAAGTATGGAAGACCAACCCGAATACAATTAAGTTGCGTTATTTGAGTTAAGCATTGTTCTCCGCTGTTAAGGCCTTTACTTTTACGAAACACATGTGGAGAAGTTAATTTGATTTTTCAATTTCAACTGAGAAGGGTACCTACAAGTATTCGTATCGTCTTATGAAATTTATATGATCTTGTTTTTATATTAATCTCAGTTATGACATTTTTCCATAAATGAAATATCAAAATTAATAATAAAATGAATGGAAATACAAATAACACAGTAAAATGTAATAAATGTACATAAAATTATAGTATTTTATGTACACTTCTGATAAAATTTCATAAGAAAGGTACCTATAAATTAATTAGGTACTTTTCTTATGAAATATGAAATTTAATCTCACTCTTAAGTCTTATTTTAATTTCTTTATAATATATTTTCCATAAAGCATCGTAAACATAAAGGTGAAAGCTAAGTACAAAAAAAAAATTAGAGCGCTGAAAGTTTTCCTTAAAAATAACTAGGTAAATAATTTGTTCACTTAAATCTAACTAACTTCACTTTTCACCTTCTGTAGAACAAATTATGATCATGTAAATCCGTCAATACGTCATTCAACACCTGCCAAGTGACGCCAAAGGTTATGATCTGCTTTGTTTTATTTTCAAATTACATCTTTTCGGCACAGAAGCTAAGTCAACCTTGGTTCAAGATATTTTAAATAAACATTATAATTTCTGATTTTCTTAAAATAAGTTTTGAAAAAATGATAATTGATTTTTTAAAAGAATTTCAAAGTGAGATTTTCATCTTTTTTATAAAATGGAAAAAATGGATGCCATAATCGATTATCTGTCAATTTTGCTGACTCAAAAACAAGATTTTAACAAAAAATTTTAGACGTGTCGAACGATTAAAAAATGTAAAAAAATACCCCCAAAATACTTTGATCTTTCCTCTTAATAATAACATGAACATTTAGATGATAAAATTTTGTTTTCGTCAAGTTTGGCGTCTTTTTCATCATGCTATGCTTTTTTTTAGCGATCTCATGGAAGTACCTAGTATAATACAACGATATGTTTCTGAAGCTGAAAACGGGGAATAAACTACATCCTTGAGTATAAATACAACCATGTTTCTGAAGCTACAAACAGGGAATAAATTAACATCCCTGAGTATAATATGACTCCCCCATAGTATAGCCATCCCTATATAATTATTATTTTTTCTTTTTTTGAAAAGTTGTATCTATTAAAATCTCAATATCATACATTGTCGTATATTTCCCTAAAATATTTAATTTTTCATTATATTAATGAATAGAAATGAACCAGATGATTAGTCATTGCATGTTTCTTTTAATTTCTGCTTCAAAACTTATTTTTGAATTTTCAGAGAAAGGTGATAACTAGACATACCTAGTCATACATTTTAAGATGTTAATTAATCTATCGTACTTTTCTGTTTGATAGGACTTTATTATATTTCTATATATTAATAAACTATAATTTATAAAATAATTAAGCCTTTGTTGTGAAATTAATTTTATCAACACTTGACAGATTACATGTATATCCTTTGTTAACTTTTTTTTAATCAATTTCGGTGAATTTCCTGTTTTTGAGACAAAAGATGTTCCATTATACTGATTCCGGAAACAAATATTGCTGACATATCAAATACATTTTGTAAACAATTTCTATCAACATCTGCCGACTTTGGTTTTTATTATCTATTGTACTGAGTTTATTTGCAATCTTGCTATTTCAAATGAGTTTTTTTTTTTTTTTTAATAAAAATTTCTGAAAACATGTACTTATGTATAATATGACTCCATTTTTTTGTCTTTAATTTTTTTGTTCAAAATTTCTTGTATTATGCACAAGAAAACATGGTAGACAAAATGCTTTTCCTTTTATATGAATTCTGTTAAAATATACAGTAGCAGAATTGAATATATAATTTATACGCTGTTTATTGGTCTGTCTATATTTCTGAGATGAGGTATTATGTACATTATTGACATTATTCGCCATATTTATCACAACGTTTCAGCCGTTGTATGCTCTGGCCTTCTTCAGGTGGTTGGAATTTCGAACTGAACCCTTTATTTCGCTCACTGGGGTAGACTGTTCTAGTTCCACATGCCATGTTTGATGGATGTCAGTTATCTCCTGCTAATTTCCCTCTGAAAGTTCTCCACTGCCTTAACCGGGTATTGAACTCACACTCTTTGGGTCCTGTCACTGGATCTAACCAACGCCTTTATTCACTGTGCCATGTGTCCTTGAGTATTTCTGGGTATTATAAAACCTAATGTCTTCAGCAACCATTTTTACCAGTGCTCATATTGCAATTTTTGCTGTTATCATTGCATGTTTTATTGGTGTTAGGTTGATTTTTTTTTTTTGTGTGTGTGGGCATGTGTTTTTATTTATATATATATATATATATATATATATATATATATATATATATATATATATATATATATATAAACACACACACACAATTCAACTAACACCAATAAATAGCACATAAATTATTTTTCAACTTAATATAAAAATGAAAAAAATCGGCAGTCAATTACTGAAACCTCCTAATGAGTGGACCAAACCAATTCAAAAATGTTTGTCTACAAAACTCTTAAGTCAGGATGCTGAATATATATATATATATATATATATATATATATATATATATATATATATACACACAACATCAATCAGCTAAGTGCCAAATTTTATATTTGTATTATGCCTATATACAATGATGTGCAAAAGTTTGGTGATGTTTTGATTGTATGCCCCAAGACTAAAGTAGGGGGGGCATATAGGGCCTAGTACTGAGAAATATGAGAAAGGAAGACACTATAAATATTTAAAAACAGATGAAACATGAAATAAATATTGTATTCAAATTAAATATAAACTAAATTTTTATTTCACTCTTTGATTGGATGCAAATCCAGTAGGAATGCCCAGGGCTGTTTCACCCTCTGTCCTATATATATTTCATTAAATATGGCCAACAAATTTTAGAGAGGCCATGTATATCAAACCTTTCTCTTCTAATATCAACCTCATTATTTAACAGCAGAAATGGAGTGTTAAAAGTTTTTTAAAAATAGAAAAATGCTCACAGGAATTACAACCATGCAGAGCACATAAAGGCTCGGAATGAATGCTCCTATTCAAAACAGCACAAAAATAAATTACAATGTAACAGTCAAAGCATGAGGTAAAAAAGGAACAATATTAGAGACAAAACAGCCTTGAACATGGCTAGAGAAATGGCTGAAAGTGCTTGGGACAGTAAAAATTATGAAAAATTTTTATATTCCCTTACTTCTACAAAATGGGAAAAAAATAAGGATGTTGCAAAAACTTAATTAAAAAAAAAATGATTTAAATCTTCTTTGTTAGATGTATTTAATGAAAGATGTTTGAAAGAAAGATTGCTGCCCAAACATATATATATATATATATATATATATATATATATATATATATATATATATATATAAAAAAATGTAATGGAAAAAACAAACAAAAATCCTAATATGCAATTATGCTGTTTTAATGTTAATATAATGTCAACGTCGGATGTTTCGGTCTAGTCGACCATCTTCAGGACATATTCATAAAACATAATTAACATTAGACTATATTCAATTCAACATGAAAAGACGATGGACATAAGAGTAAGACTATATTTTTCTTCATACTGTCGGATCTATATCCATATATTTGCTTATATATATATATATATATAAGTCAGTTATGTGCCATCCATGATACACACTTAGACAATCATTTATCTTTCCATACATGACTGATGAGGCAGATTTTTTCCCGCAGTAGCTTGCCATTTCTTTCAGTGGTAGAAAGTTGGCATCCAAGGCTATAGAACCTGGTCTGTCCCGCTACTTACCCATAACTGGGGGCGGGGAAGAGGATTCATACCTTTCCCAAGGGTATTAGCACATAAGTGAATGTAATGGATACAACTGGAATTCAAACTCAGCTCTTCGATTCCTCAATCCAAGCCCCTGTCCATTACTCCACCATGCCTTATATATATATATATATATATATATATATATATATTTCATAAATTTTGCCTACATTAGTAGGACAAATAGAAAAGAAGGAATGGGAATATTGTTGTAATACATATATATAAACACAAGTGACCTCTAAATGTCATTTGTGATAATGATATTGTTGTATCCGTTGACCTTAAAAGAAATATCTTGTTTTTCAAGTTCAAATTCTAGAAATTAACTTCAATGTTTTGTTGAAAACTAGGAGCAGAAGTCACAGGATTTATTTCATCACTTATAAAATATAAATTTATATCTAATCATTTATTAAAAGTTCTTTTTCTTTTCTTTTTTTTTTTTATTTGTCGTGTTTTAATTTCCAGTTTTACATGAAGTCCAGACTGAACTGCTTACTCCTTTCCAAAAAATGGCCAACAATTGATGACGAGGGAGGTTCACCAACTGATGTATCCAAAGAGAAAATTGATGACATGAGTGATGCATTATGGGACAAGTTGCCAGTGCTTGGCTCAAAGGAACAACTTCCTTCAGGCAAAATGCAGAAAACAAAAAAACGGAAATTAGCAACTAAAGAATTACCAAAACAAAAGATGAAAAAATCTGTATGTTAATTTCAATTTTCAAGAGCATCAAATTTACAATTAAAATGAAAAATCTTTTTATTGGAGAGTTTTTCTTACTTTATTTTGTTCCTGTTGTTTAAGTTGATAAGAATGTTTCTGTTCAGAAAACATTGTGAGCAGAAAGTTGGCAGGAGAATCTATATGTTTAATACAGTGATTAAAAGCTGCTTTCATTTTGTCTTTCAGAGTCAGGCTAAGTACAATACTAGTATTTGGGTAAACATTAGCCTAACAGATACCACAAATCCTTAGATATTTGTATATTAGATGTTCGTTGGCATGCAAATGTTTTGAGGCAAATACATAAAATAATTATACGTCTTTATTTTTATTTTTTTACAGTAAGGTTCTGCTTGTACAAGGCCCCAGGGCCACTCAAGGTAGAGGGTTACATTAAGGGGTAGTTAATATGGATAGGAGAGGAGGATAATGGCTAACTCTAGATTTGAACAGATTAAGATTGTAGTTATTGGGGAAACATTCTCTGGGGAGTCTGTTCCACAGAGTAGTGGTTCGTAGGAAGAAGCTGTTTATTTACTCCACACCAATTATTTAAAGCCTATTATTTTTTTTTTAATACTAATGTTCATCCAATACAAGGGCCAAGGTAGACAGCTTTTGTATGAACATAAGAGAAGGCAAGAAGTGTAGATTATGAGGTTATGTAGGAAAGATAAGGATTAATCCTAGATTTAAAGAGATCAAGATTATAGTGATCAATAAAAGATCCTGCCAGGAGTCTGTTCCATAAAGCAATAGCTCTTGGGAAGAAGCTGTTAGAGTGGAACTTCCTCCTCACCAATGGAATATGAAGGGATGATTCATCCTCATGTATGTGGCATGTCAGGTCCTAGCTACAAAGGTCAGGGATGGTGGAACCAAGGAATGTATCTCGTTAGAACATTTGTTATGGAAATAGTAATAGAGTAGCAAGAGGTTTGCGACGTTTTATCTGTGAGAAGCGGGTTGGAGGGTGGTTATCTTCATAATTCATACATAAAACGACAATGTGAATTCAATATTAAGAAAATATCTGTGGTCATTAGAATAAAAACATTAAAAAAGCTATGAGGCTATGTAGGAAAGATAAGGGTTAATCCTAGATTTAAAGAGATCAAGATTATAGTGATCAAGAAAACATCCTGCCAGGAGTCTGTTCCACAAAGCAACAGTTCTTGGGAAGAAGCTGTTAGAGTGGAACTTACTTCTCACCAGTGGGTAATTTATATGGATAGGAGAGTAAGATAACAGTTAATTCTAGACTTGAACTGGTTAAGATTGTAGTGATCAGGGAAACATCCTCTTCAGAGTCTGTTCCATAAAGCAGTGGTTCACAGAAAGAAGCTGTTTGAGTGGAACCTACTTCTCACCAATGGAATATGGAGAGAATGAAAGTGTTTTTTACTATGTAAGTGACATGGCAGGTCCTAGCTGTGAAGGTCAGGCTTAGTGGGACCAGGAGATGCAGTTCATCCAAGCACTTTCCATGGTAGTATCGATAGAGCAGTGAGAGACTCACCACATCCCACTTATGAGGGAGAGAGGTCGGAGTGTGGAAATTAATCCTTCTCCAAGAAGTTAAGATTATTTAGCAGTATGCTTTCATCAGTAGTGCTCAAGTTGTGGCATTTTTGTAGGTGCTGTGTAACAGAGGATACACTGCTTTAAGTAGCTTGAAACTGAAAATAAGCCATTCAAATTTCTAAGTAGGAATTGTTCTATCTTCTTAACATGGGTGCAAGTTGCCTTGGCAAGTCATAATAGTTGAATATTAGCTTGATTTTTGACGCTAAAATCATAGCTAAAAATTCTACAGAAACAAAGATAAAGGTTGTGCTTCTGATGGGGAAGATGACTCAACAAGTGATAGTCAGATGGCTGGGAATTTCTAGAAACTGTGTTCAAACCATCCAAAAGATGGAAGTGCTTTAAGTGCAAAGAAAACTAGAAGGCCCCAAAAGTTAGACAAGAGAGATGAAAGAAAGATTGTGAGTGTCTCAGTTTGTTTTGTTTTGTGGCATATCAACCTCCATGGGTTATTTAATGCCGACAAAATTTTTATTGCTGCTAATATTTTGTTTTGTCAAAAATCTATTTCTGGTAATATTTTTCCTTCGAAAATGTGTTTCTGGTTATAATTTTTCCCTGTATAACTGGTAATATTTTTTTTCTTCAAAAATTTATTGCTGGAAATAATTTTTTACAAAGTATGTCTGGTATTAAAACCTGTTTTTACACTTTCATGGTGTTTTTACCCCAGTTTGGGGGTTAACTATTTGCCCATAGCTGGGACCCTAACAGGTGCTACCACCCCATGTCAGGGCGAACCTGGAAACACCACGATTAAGAGGTGGTTCCACACTCCTCAAAACCTCCTGATCAGGACTTGCTGCTGGACGTAGTTTATTGTCATACCCTGGATGCAGATGTAGTTTATCATCATACCCAGGATGGGAGAGAGTGTCAGTCAGCAATACAAAATTAACAGCCAGACAAGTGAGCAGTAAATGCAGTCTTGACGGTGTAGTTTCAGTTGATGCAGTATGCAGGCTATTATGAAAAGACAATTTTAACTGGCTTATAACAACAAAAAAAAATATATATCTTTAATCAAAAATCATCAGAATAGAAGATTGAAATGCTCAAGAGAACTTCTAACATAGGATGCTGGAAAATGGCAAAATGTAATTTTTAGAGATAAATGCGAAATACAGTTATATTCTGTATATATAGCTGGCCACTCACATTCAAGGATACCCACCTACTAAGACTGCTAGCCAATCCCTATTTCTTGCCCAGGTGCATTGGTATTTATTCAACACCCAGAGAGCCCACCTATCAACAATTTGAACAAGGTGAGCACGTTCAAGCTCTCGGCCATGATGACTTGTGAATTTGTGCTAGCTCAGCTATTGACGGTACCCAAGGGTTCCATCTGCCCAAGTTCACTCACAAGGCTTAGGTCAACCAGTGGCATGGTTTTCAGGCACTTTCCAAAGGCACTGCATACTGGGATCAACCCCTCCTGTTCGATAACATCAGGAAGTCTCCTGACATGAGCATAGTGAGATTTGAAGCCAGGTCTCATGGTCAGACATTCTAATCACTCGCCTAATGAAAGAGAATATGTAAGAAAACCAGTGAAAGAAAGAAATAATGCAAGATAAACCACAAAGACAGTAAAATTTCATGGTAAACACATAATGATGTGGAGTTGCATCAAAAGCAATGGTAGAAGAAAATTGGTAAAAGTTGATGGAAACCTATACTAGTTTACTACAAATCTTCTGACAGACTAAGATGGAGAAATTTTCCAGCATGACCGTGCTCCTTGACAGACATCATGTGCACCAAAAAGGATTTTTGTGGATGAAGATGTTCGACTTTCAAAAAAGTTATAATTGGGTCTCTTCATTAGATTAGCCATTTGCAGAAGTTATAGAAATTAAATTAAATTAAAGTAGCTAGTACTGTTTTAATCCTCAAGCGAATTTTGGAATAACTAATAACTAAATTATTTATTCCAAAATTCGCTTGATATATTTTGTTGGTAAAAACGCTGAATTTTATGCTTTTCTGTACTTCTAATACTGAAGAGTTCCTTAAAAATTCTCTGAAAATTTCAAAAGGTACTTTGTTTTCATCAGAAGAAAAATTGTTGTTACTTGGAGCAAAATTGAATGATGATGTTACTCTAAGATACCTTCTGAGATTGCAAAGCATTCTTCCACAAAATTTAGAAAAATCTTGGTCTATCACTAATTTACAGTTTCCTGGGGAATTCTGATGCTTATATAGCAAAACATGGACACAAACTGCTAAGAAAATTAAAATATCTGAGTAGACTAAACCACAGATCTGTCAAAAGATTGGCAAATTTGGCACTTCATGCTTGCAAAGAAACAAAGTGTAAAGAGGTAAGTTTTCCCCTTGACACTGCTATTTTTTTTAACTACCATCACTTCTTGGCAATGTTTGTTTTAAAAAGTAATGATTAGAATTGTAGTAAAACCTAAACACGTGATGAAAATGAATTTATACATTTGTTTTTTGTTCTTGAGGATATACAGAAAAATATTAAACATTATTCATTTATTAGATTGTTTATTACAAAAATAATTTTATATTTACAACATTCTAAAAACTAATATAATGCAATATTTATCATTTACCAATTTACGAAGAAATAATTTTTTATTCATAAATCTATAAACATTTATTAAATTATTAAAATATGTGACCCAACTATAAGGCAATCCTTATTATTTACCATTTCACAAAGTTCGAATCAACTGGCAATTAGCTAATGTTTTGCCAGTCATTCCAATAAACATAATAATTAATATTGTTTTATTTTTGTTGTCAATTCTCAAGAACAAAAAAATTTTCTTCATATGTTTAGGTTTTATTACAATTCTAGTCATTATTTTTAAAACAATAAACATTGCTGAAGAGTGAAGATAGTCAAAATAATAGCAATGTCAGGGGTTAAACTGTCCTTTTGACATTCCATTCTTTTGCAAAAACAAAGGTTAAAATTTGCCAAAAGATTTTTTGGAAAATGAAACCATAAGCAATTACAACAAGTATTGAGATTTTCTATTCATGACATCTTGCCAGTAAATCTCATGTAGTACTCATACAAGCTAATCAAAAAACATTCTTGTATCACAAAGAAGCCAGGTGAAAATGAGATGATCTTCAAATTTCTGAAAATTGTGATCCAAACTTGGCACTACAGTTCTTTTTAGTAAGATCTGCAAGAAATACTGAAAAGGGTTGCTCGTCAGCTTGGTGATTGAGGGGTATCACTTTGCTGGTTGTGAGTGATGTTGTCAAGTGTATTAATCTGGGTCAACATGTTTGAGTAGGAATTTGGATCTGTGTAGATGCTAAACAACTCACTTCTTTCATTTAGGATTTTTTATATTATTCAGTATTATTAATTTTTCAGAGAGACATAACTTACATTTATTGCTTTTCCTGTT